GGACAGAGAGAAAGGAGTGGAGAGACAAGGACAGAGAGACAGGGGTAGAGAGACACAAGCAGAGAGACAGGTGTAGAGAGACAGGAGCAGAGGAGAGGGTAGAGAGGGCAGGAGCAGAGACAGGAGTATAGAGAGACAAGAGCAGAGGACAGGAGTAGAGGACAGGAGCAGAGACAGGTGTAGAGAGAGACAAAAGCAGAGACAGGAGTAGGAGGACAGGAGTAGAGACAGGTGTAGAGACACAGGAGCAGAGGACAGGAGAAAAAGACAGGAGCAGAGGACATGGATAGAGAGGACAGGACTAGAGACAGGTGTAGAGAGAGACAGGAGCAGAGGACAGGAGAAAAAGACAAAAAGACAAAGGGCAGGAGCAGAGAGACAGGGGTAAAGAGAGAAGCAGAGGTAGAGGAGGACAGGAGTAGCGGACAGGAGCAGAGACAGATGTAGAGAGAGACAGGAACAGAGGACAGGAGAAAACGACAGGCACAGATGACAGTGACAGGAGACAGGAGAAGGGGACGGGGCAGGGGACAGGAGCAGAGGACAGGAAGAGCAGAGAGACAGGAGCAGAGGGCAGGAGAAAAAGACAGGAGGAGAGGACAGGGGAAGACAACAGAGGGAGAGGACACAATGAGCAGGGGACAGGGGCAGAGGACAGGAGCAGAGAGACAGTAGCCAAGGACAGGGGCAGACGGCAGAAGCAGAGGAGAGCACCGGTCAAACTGGTGCAAGGTCAATCTCAAGGGACAGAAAAAAAACACAATAATACATCATTTTGAATCCATGACAGCATGACTTGGGAAGTTAGTGCCCCTCAAAGCCATGCTAACAGTGCACTTCCTATAACATGCTTAATAATGCAGATTCACAGTGGTCTCATTATTATCAAATATTATTTACAGTAGATTCATGGATGAGTAGTTTTGATTGCAAAAGGCCAGTGAATATGACAGTTTTACAAAATCTGATCCAAATGAAGCTAAAGAGAAACTGTGACAACTTTTTTTACGAGGTATATTTCTGTCTTCACTCAGCACATGGCATGTTTGGGGTCTGTGTATTGTTAAAAAAAAAAAAATCGTTGTAGTTCAGGTAAAAACTGAGGTTAGCCCCATTAGCAAGCAGCGTGCTCTGAAAGCTTAAAATCACAACGCAAAGGGGCATGTGATCCATTTTGCTGTTGATTACGTGATTGTTTTCACTGTTGACCACACATTTGATTGTAGCAATGATCACTTCTTCACTGTCACGTTTAGAGCAGACTTGGGACCCAAAATGCAAGACTGCAGTTCTGAAGTTGTTTAATAAAAAAAGGGATGACGAAAGACAGAAATTCAAACAGACGTGAAACTGATAATGACAAATGAACCAACAAAAGGCAAAGGAGAACACAGGGTTTATACGCACACAAATGACACACATGTGAGACACATAAGGGCAGGGCAAACTATCAATACAACAGGAAGTCAAACTCAAAACACACACATAGCTAGAGAAATACTAAATAATACCAGGTCAAGGATAATAAAATAATTCAATGAAAATTAACACCATGACATGTACTCCCAGTAACACCTACAACGACAGACCTACTACAGACTCAACGTACTAAAACTACTAGAGATTGACTCATATGGGTTTTTTCACCCAGAGCAGTTGAGGGCCAGTGAGTTTTGCCGAAATTTTTTTGGGCTGATATGCAGGGCAGATTTTTGGTTATTTTCCCAAATTATCTCATTTGAAACTAGTACAAGCTCATCCCAACCTTCTTTAACTACAAACTGGATAAGAGAGTGGTTTTGCAGTACCATCTTTGAACAAAAGTGTTCAGATGAAGTTTTATACACGTATTCTTCATGCATATTTAGGACAGATGATACAAGATTTCGTAAAACTAAATTGTCAAAAGACACATGAAAAAGTAATCTTGTGAGATTCTTTTCCAAGCGTTCACATTTGGATTGGACAAAAAAGGGTCAAGTGTTGGTGAGTTACAGTAGCCTGATTCATCTTTCGGTTTCACTTCATGGAAACCGTCTGACCAGCGTTAGAATTTGTTCACTCGACGGTAGGTGGGTACTTTTTTCATTTATCCAATCTCTGCTATTTGGTCGTGACGTATGTAATGCGCCTCTAACGGTGCTAGCTAACTGGTATATTAGGCTTTTCCCAAATCCCGCAGGAAGAAGGGAAATAACATCTTTCTACTTGATAAAATTCACCAAACATTCTCTTCGTTCTGGCTTTAACCAACCATCTAGTGTATTCTGATTCCTGACCTAGTCACTGGAGAGAACTTAAATTGAGCAGAGGCACTAGGTGGCACCAGTCTGGCTAGAGTTACAGTAGAATGGAAACAAAAATATTAAATCAAATAAACAAAAAAAATTGTGAGGCCAAGATAGAATCGTGAATGTGTATATATTCAATATATATCCAAACGAGCTGTGAGACAGCTGCAGAACATCCAGAACGCTGCAGCTTGGGTCCTCACTCGAACTAGGAAGTACGAGCACATAAGTCCTGTGCTCAGGTCTCTGCACTGGCTTCCTGTGCCTCAGAGAATAGACTTTAAAGCAGCTCTGTTTGTGTACAAGTCTCTCCATGGCCGAGCACCAAAGTACATCTGTGACATGTTAGTGTCATATGAACCATCTCGCACTCTGAGGAGCTCAGGGACCGGCCTCCTGCTGGTGCCCAGAGTCAGGACTAAACAAGGGGAGTCAGCGTTTCAGGTTCATGGTTCAGCAGCTAAAACCTGGAACAGTCTTCCTGAACATGTGAGACAGACTCTTCTGTGACGCTGTTTAAATCCAGGCTCAAAACATTTCTGTTTAACTGTGCATATAACTGAAAGGTTTTCATTCCGCACTCTTCTCTCCAATTTATGCCCCTCTTTTTTAATTTTAATATTTATGTTTTGATTTGTTTTTATTATGATTTTAATGTATTTCTTATTCTGTAAAGCACTTTGAATTACTTTGTGTACGAATTATGCTATACAAATAAACTTGCCTTGCCTTGCCTATATTAGGAATTATGTTAAAATCTCGTCTTGTCTTGTTCTCATGGACCCAGTCTCGTTTCTCGTCTCATTTTGTGAAAATTGTGTCTTGTCTCATTTCTAATATTTAGGCAAAATATCGGTAACTGTTGGAGATTTAAGACGTTGATGATGTCATACTTCCAGAGCGGGGGCAAGAGCTAGATTTCCCTATTGATTACATTGAACTTTGCCATGAAATATCAGAAAGACAAATTCACAAATATGGAACCTGATCATTTCTATTATTGACTAGACCCAAGACCATGCTATATTACAACAAAAATCTGCAGTTGAACAATAATGATTATAGCAGCCCTCATCTGTATTAAATAGTACTGGCCTATAGAAAGTTGTGATGTCGTCTGAAACCCAGCAATAGTGATATCAGATCAAGGGGCTTCTTTCAACTCTCTACCTGGTCTGGAATCACTTCTTTCACGATTACATGTAGCCATGTAAAAGCCTAGAGTCTCAAACCCAGCTGATGTGAGTGGTGCGGGCTGTCAGGGAGCTGCAGGAGGCCTGGTTCAGACGCAGAGCAGATCACAGCTCTGTCTCCTCTTGAGGGACACTGGCCTTAATTACACTCACACCAGGAGCAGCACGTCCATCACACTACAGCCAGCGAGGAGGACAGGACTGGAGCAACCTGACTGTCTACTAGGCATGCAACAATATGCAAATCTGTCATTACGATATGTTCATGATATACACGGTGCGATATTTATTGCAATATTTTGTGGAAGGTAACAAAACTGTGACTTTTTCCTCTTAAAATGCCTTCACAAGACATAATCCAAAGAACAAAGATTTAAAAGTGCTTAGAACATTTATTTCTTCATGAAGTCTGGACTAAAACGGAGAAAAGGATCATGGTCTATGTAGGTCTCTCTGTTTTTTTTTAGCTGTTGCTGCACCATAACCATTAATTTAAGCAAAGAGACTTATAAATCGATATATTGTGATGGTCCAGGATATTATTGTGAGACTTTTGACGATACAATACCACAATATTTCAGTTGTTACATCCTTACTGAGGGGGAAGAGTCAGTTTTCTCATATTGATTACACTGAACTTTGGCATGAAATATCCAAAAGGTAAATAAACAAAAAACCTGATCATTTCTGACAGCGACTACAGCCAACAAATTCTATATTACAACAAAAAACATTAATTTTGTATTAAGTAATATGGGCCAGTAGAATGTTGTGATGTCATCTGAAACCCAGCAAAACAAAGGAAGCAATTTCAGGTATTGAAAAACAAATTGTAAAGAGAAAGTGCAGGAGGAAATGAGTGAAGCAATGCAGAAATACCACAGATTTTCACAAGTTAGAATATACTGAGGGTGCTAAATGGCTAACAGAGCTAATACTTGTTTTAAAAGGTCTCTATGGAGATATTATTGTTTTATGGTATGCCGTTAAAATCTGTAGGCTGCATTTATTCAATCACAGGAAATATTCATGCTCAAAATATGTCTTGATGCCGGCGTACAGTAAAGCTCCAGACGTGGTTACAACAAAAAAAAGAAACACTAAATGCTGACTTGATCTTGTGATAAACCATCATCATATTTCCCATAAAGAGAGGTTCAAATGTGGTGTAAAGGCTTAGAAAAGTGAAATAAATGCAGAAAAAGCTGACAATAAACTGGAAGTTGTTTTGTTTTTATGCTTTAGCCATGTCTCACAGCAGCACAAACTTGGAATTTACGTCTGAGATCAGCTTTAGAATTATGAATATAATTGAGATACAATGTAGAATTGATTTATTATTTAAGAAATCATTTGTTATGTTTGGTTGACATCAGTGCCCCCAAGCGAACCTGCCAATGTAAAAGAAGCCATAGTGTACCTTTAACTTGAATAGGATAGGCCAAGTTTGATGCGGTTTTCAAAAATTCCATTCCTATTACAACCTTCACAAAAACAAAAACAAAGTCCCTCTCACCTCTCTCCCGGTGAGGACATGCCTGGCCAGCTTGACTTTGGCAAAGTTTCCTTTGCCGATGGTCTTGAGGAGGCGGTAGTTTCCGATGTGGGGGTGCTCCTCGGTCGAGGTGAAAGAGTTACGACAGCGTGGGAGACTGTGGCGACTCGCAGACTTAGAGGGCGGGGCCGGGGGCTCCGCAAAGCCATCCACCGACGAATGCTGAAGAGAGAGACAAAAACAGGATTCAATACAACATCACATTTCTAGCTTTTAGAACTAGTTATTCAGTTTATGCCTCGTTTGACACCAGTCTCTTGCTACTTTTGCAACTTATTTTTAATTTATTATAACCACTTGCATTTTAGCTGTTTGTTAATATATTGTGATGTGTGAGCTACTGTGTCCAAATAATTCCCTTTGTGGCTCAATGAAGTTTAAGTCTAAGTTTGAGTACTTTCTCCATTTTATATACATTTCAAATTGTGTTAAAAATGGATGAGAAAAGGTCTTGTGCTGCAATTTGGACTCTTGAGAAGCGGCACTTCCAGAAAGCACTGCAAAAGTATTTATTTATTTTATTTATTTTTATATACATGCAAACTTAACAGCACCATTTATTTACTACAGTATAAATGATTGAATGATGAATTAACAGAAGCAACTGAGGTTTTCTTTTTTACAGTGTATGTTGCCTGTGTATGATAAACTGACATTTTATTAAGCAGCGCTGTTCTTATGACGCTAGCTATAAATCTGTTCACTTTTCACTGCATTTAGCACCAGTGCAGCAGAGTGGTGCAGTGGAGCGGATGTGCCAAGACAAGGAGACAGACATAAAATAAAGCTTATAGACGAGTGCTTCTCAAAGTGTGGTCCGGCCCCACTGCTGGTACAGGAGTCTTCAGTATAATTACTCCTTTATTTAATTTAGTCAGGTAGACACATGCTTTCATAAGACCACGGATGGTTTAGTATTAGTTTAGTGTTAACAGCTTATATAGTTCTGTCTTTAGGCCATATGTAGACCTACTTTAATCCTGCATGTTAAGACTTGGATTGGTTGACCTGTTCTTGGTTTAGCTCTACTTTGATTCTGGTTTTGACTCAGTGGCTATCTTTACAATTACATGCACACTATAATCTGATCATTATCATTATCCGATATTATCTGATCATGATTCTTCTGGAGTTATATAATTATTGAAATGTCATGTGATCAGTTACATCTGATGTGCGTAATCAGATTTCTTTCTGATCGTTCACACATGTGCAAGTTTTGACAAGGAAATTATATAAAAAGGGCAAACTACTGTGACAAAAACCAAAATGAAAATGCTAAAGACTGAAAGAGTTAAAAGTCATTGCACTTTGTTTTCCAAATACTTCAGACACTCTGCTAATTAATTTATGCTTTTGTTGATCCTGATTTTGTGGACACCAAAAGTTTGATCTAATTGGGTTGGGTTAGTTAAGCAGTTATCTGATTTATACTGGCCATATAAATGTGACATTGTTTAGTCCTGATTTAGACCTGGTTTAGGCTTGGTTTAGACTTGGTTTAGGCCTTGTTATGACCAAGCATAGACCTGGTTTAGACCTGGTTTATACCTGGTTTAGGCTTGGTTTAGACTTGGTTTAGGCCTTGTTATGACCAAGCATAGACCTGGTTTAGACCTGGTTTATACCTGGTTTAGACCTGGTTTAGACCTGGTTTAGACCTGGTTTAGACCTAGTTTAGACCTGGTTTAGACCTGGTTTAGTCCTGGTTTAGTCCTGGTTTAGTCCTGGTTTAGACCTGGTTTAGTCCTGGTTTAGTCCTGGTTTAGTCCTGGTTTAGTCCTGGTTTAGACCTGGTTTAGACCTGGTTTAGTCCTGGTTTAGACCTGTTTAGACCTGGCTTAGACCTGGTTTAGTCCTGTTTAGACTTGGTTTAGTCCTGGTTTAGTCCTGGTTTAGACCTCGTTTAGACCTGGTTTAGTCCTGGTTTAGACCTGGTTTAGTCCTGGTTTAGTCCTGGTTTAGTCCTGGTTTAGACCTGGTTTAGACCTGGTTTAGACCTGGTTTAGACCTGGTTTAGACTTGGTTTAGTCCTGGTTTAGTCCTGGTTTAGTTCTTGCTTTGACTTAGTAAATGGCTGTTTCAATTCTGTTTTTATACCTTATTTCAATTTACAGCATACACACTTCTGACATTCCCATGGCTAAACCTACTGGACAATACGGTAAAATTATATACATTTTGTTTTTGCACACACTGGACAGTCATGATTTGAATCCATTTTAATCAAAGTCAGAGCAGGGGCTAGTCTTTTAAACAGGGGAAGTTCCATGTCCTGTTTTCTAAGAAACTGTAAACTGCCTTCAATTACATTTGTATAGATATGTAATCTCCTTCAGTCAATTCTACAACTTTGCAATTTTTCAACATCTCATTTATTAAAAACACAAATTTGATTCACTGCCCAGCCCTAGACCTCCTTTAGTCCGGTATAGATCTCTTAGTAGTAGTATCAGTTTTGTTCTAAAATGTAGCTTTATTCAAGTCATTTCAATGTGTTTAGTCCTCCTTTGACTCTTTTTAGTTAACACTGCCAAAACTGTGCCGAGGAAGTATTTGGTTTTGGTGAGAAAAATTTCTGAATCACCAGCTCAGGGCCATGACTCTGGTTTTAAATTCACTTGGGACTTTCCACATTAGAACACATAATCGCCCAATACGTACCGTCAGAACTAAGGCCAGAACAATGACAAACTTAAGAGTGTCCTCCCTCCCTCTGCTACACCCTAACCTCCTAACCCAGAGACCTTATCTGCCCCATGACTAGATTAGATAACAAAAGAAAGTAAGTGGTCTTTATTTATGTGCCCGGAGGGAAAGTGACGATGAGCAGAGGGCACTTGTTGTAGCTTCAGAAGTGCAGCCTACGTCACCGGAGCTGAGAATAAAATAGCTCTTATGGAGAAGGTGGGAGGGGGCACGGGGAAGCTAGCACAGGCTACGTGAGGCTAACTGCAGAGGTCAACCAGGTCTGGAACAAATGTACTGCAGAAGAGAGGAGTAGGGCTTTGAAAAGTACTGAAACTTAGATACTAATTGATGCTTAAAGGTGGATACTGTGTAACTTTTTGGTTGGGGTTCCATCACCTGCTTTTTTCTATAGATATGTCATTGCTCTGCCTGGAATGTTCCGCAGTATGACATTAAACAGCTCTATCTTACATTTATTTATTCAATTACAGGTGGTTTTATAGCTCAAAAATACCTAGATTAACAAGCATTCTGACTGTGAGCGGGGCCGCCTCTCCACAGATCTGACCTCTAACTTGGTCTGCATGAAGATAAAAAGGTTTAATGCCACACTGTGAAACATTCCAGACAAAGCAATAACATCTCCACGGAGAGAAACAGATGATGGACCCTCCAACACAAAAGTTACACAATGCACCTTTTCACTTTTTGCTTTTCTCCATGGAAATGGTATGTTCTGCCTGGAATGTTCCACAGTATGGCATTACACTTGTTTATCTCTATGGAGACAGCAGTTGACAGAAGTTGAGGCCAAGTTTCATGTCAGATCTCTGAAGAGGTGAGCCCACTCACTTTAAAAATGCAAGTTTTTAGGTCAATAAAAACCCATGTTATTGAGTAAATGCAAGATGGATACTTCTAATTTCATGGGACATTCCAGACAAAAATAATAACATTTCCATGATGACCTTCCACCATAAAAGTTACACAGTGCACCATTAAACTAACACTGAAATTCAAGTGAGCAGGTATCGATACTAAAAAGTCACATTTGCAGAACAGAAATGGCTCTATTCCAAGTATCAAAATCAAAATCAAGATTAATATTTTAGCACCATGACAACACTACACATGGGAACACAGAAAATATATATCGGTGCCACATATCGGCTAAATTGACAACAAAATTTCGATAATGATACCTAGGAACTCTGAAACCGATATCCCGATACAAATACTGGAGCTGTTTCAGTGCCCATCCCTAACCTGAAGCATGATTAAGCCTACCCAGTACAATTCATAGGACTTAGTGGCCTAAACTAAACTAAGACTAAACCATCAATTATCTGGGTTTAATTTACATCTTGGTCTACCCAGGTCTAATCCAGTGCTAAAAACATGACTGGGTTGCACGTATCTGTAGTGTACTTGGGGGTCAGACATCCCATGATCCTTTGCTGCTGCACCACACCCACTCTCAGAATAAAGCCTTGGTCTAGTTACCCAGGCCGGCGTGCTCTCATTTCACTGGGGAAACGCTACACCCTGCAGGGCTAGCATCACTGCCGCTAACCTGTACACCGGTGAGGAGGGAGAGAGCGAGTGAAGGAGAGGGAGGGACAGCAAGAGAAAGAGAGCAGGAGAGGGAGAGAGACAGAGACAGAGACAAACAGACAGACAGACAGACAGACACAGAGAGAGAATATTTTCCCTTCTAAATCTATTATGGCATCTACCTGCTGGAGTCCAGCTCAAGTTTATCCAGTGAGTACACTGTTCATTCCCCCTCCCTCTTGTGTCTGTTCCTCCTGATTAAGCATGTCCTGTCTGCACCTCTGTAACTGACTCATTATGTGATCACTTGATCTAAAGTGACTACTGATGGGCCTATGAAAAAGAAAGGTTTGAAATCTGAGCTTTACAATAAAAGAGGACCATATATGCCATAAACATGTCTACACAGATTTGCCCTCCACCAGACTCAGACCCATGGAAAAGGAGAAAGTGCAATAAAAGCCTGTCTTTCTGAGTAATACCTCGTTATGCAATGAAGCACTGCCTATGGGCCCTGGGGCCTGAGTAGTCAAATATAGGCAGCGGGATAGAGCCATGTGCTGAGCACAGCTTTGTACTTACCTGTAGTCTGTCTCTCTCAGGAACACTACAGACTACAGGGTTTTACACTCACATCAGGCCTGCACTCTAACACTGCTCTCGTCACTGGCCTTTTATATTTACAATGAGTGGACTTTATATCTATCATGTTGCTGCTGACATAACCCCTGTTCACAGATACAGCCTAATTACAGAGGAGTTCATTGTAATAACACTGCTTCATAGGTGTATTGTACAAATCTCTGTCTGATTAAAGAGCTCATGGCTTCGCAGTGCGTGTAACACAATCTAACCGTGAGCAGCGCGCACAGACTGTGCCTCGTCTTGTTTCCAAGAAAACAAGGGAAACCTAGATGTGTCAGAGCCTGTCAGCTGCACCGTGCGCCCGGAGCCCGGGGCTGGAGCCCGGAGGAGAGGAGGAGAGGAGCGGGACTGTGTCTTCTCTCACGGACACAGACATTCCTCTGCACGGTGAATGACCGGGCTGTTTGGAGCTTTTCGGGGCCGTTGTAAATAACGTGAGCAGTATTCATGGGAGCGGAGGCAGAGGAGAATAACACCTCCTCCTCCCGCTGAACAACAGACCAGTGCAGTTTCCACAGAGCCCTATAGGTGATGGATGTCACATTGCGATGCTACCAACTTTGCCATTGAAAGTAGGGCAACATCCCCCACCCACCGAATATTGACTGCGGACCAGAAAACACGTCCATAGATCCATACGCGGCTGCACCGTGTTCTGGAGCCGAACATGAGCGCGGCTTTATTCCACTAAATGCACAATCAGTCCTGCGCGTGTCATTAAAGGCAGCATAGTGACGCAATGCGTTGTTAACGCTAACCGTATTGTGCACAAAGTGGGACAGCGCGGCCGAACCGCACCGGGCCGTGCCCGTGCACTGAGTGACCGGGCTCCATGCTCTGCTTGAGCCGGGCTGGAGATAAGCCCGGGCTCACGGGTGACTAGCACTGCAGCACAGAGCTCAAAGCCTCCATAAACCTGCTCCCACAGACAGGCTAGCTACAGCACATCCATGTCCCTCCCCTCGGTCCGGACACGCCGGTGTCATCCGAACTGTACTCACGTTCTCGGTGTCCCGCTCGTTCACCGTGGGCAATGGCGTTCTGGTGGACATCTTGTGTGCTTCGCAGGCCGCTCAGCGATGCAGCGGGCTGGGCAGAGCAGAGCAGACACGGCGCGGTCCGTCGGGGCGAGTGGTGCCCGTGTCCCTGTCTACATCCCCTGTAAACACCGCAGAACAGCGGCCTTCTACCGCCGCATATCAGCGCCCGAGGCCCGCCGACACACCGCTGCTTCGCCCGGGCTTGTGGCACTTCCTCGCAGGTAGGCTAGCCGCAGACAGAGGAGGACAGAGGCTGAGGGAGAGAGGGAGAGAGGGAGAGAGGGAGAGAGGGGGCAGGCCAGGAAGATGCGTCGCTAGCGGACGGCTGTGCGCAGCGCATCTCAAACCTCCCACAGGAAGGATGGAGCTGTGTCCCGCCGCTCACACTGGAGCCTTTGTCTGCTCCATGGCTTATTATTCAAGTCACCAGAAAACACTTAAGCTCACACACCAGGGATGTGCTGCTTAGATTTGCGGCACAGTCTTTATGCACCGCTGTCATTTTGTTTTCGGCACATTTGTGAACTGTTTTATAACTTTATATTAGCTCAGGTGAATACACTTGAACAATAATACATTTGACACTTTACATAATAAATAGTGTTGTAAACACTTGTGTAAACAGTTTCCAAAAGAGGCCTAGTTCAAGGGCAGGGTACCCGACAGGTCTGGTATTCACGTGAAGACTGCGCCACCTGTCGGACCAAAGGAGTATTACAGCGCAGGGTTATTCATTCATTTCCTGAGCAGTATGACTCACGTTACTATTAGCAACAGTTCAGCACAAATGAGGACAAGACTCATTCACAAGGAACCCACGAGAGCCTCTACATGTGGTGCCTTCGCTTTGTCTTTGCAGGCACACACACTCTAGTTTTACTGGCAGCGTTTTAACAACATTTATATTTCAAGGTCATATTTAGTTACTATGAGGAAGACAATCTATAATACGATTCATTCATTACATTTTTGGATCAGGTGGATCAGAGCAATTTTGATCCTTGGAGATGTAGCCAGACTAGTAAACCAAGATCAAACATGCGGGAATGAAACAAAACACAACAATGGATGTGTGTGTGTGGTTTTGACTAGGTAACAATATTAAACGGCCTAAATCTCACAAGATTTTTATTATTTTTAATAAGATTTTTTTTATATATAATTTGCCACAATTTCCATCAATAATCTTTAATTTCTCTTAAATCAACCAATCCCCATATAATATATAGATGATTACAAGTCTACTCATTATTTGTAATTAATATTGTCTTACTAACATTTAAGATTTTTTATTATCATAGCAGATTTAGAGCATAAAAACTGTATCTCTGTATTGAAGGGCTATTGGGTAAGTCATATTCTCTATAATCTGCCGCCATTTCTGCCAAAAACCTTTCAGTTCTCTTCTATCAACCAATCCCCATAAGTTTATTCATGATTTGTAGTTAATATTTTCTTACTAAGATATAAGATTATATTGTATGGTAGAGGATAAAAGCAGTCTTTCTGTGTTGAATTGTACATGTGTTAGTTGCTTTCCTGCCCCCACCCCTCTTTCAGACCTAGTAACAAAAAAGGGGCTGTATTTGACACAGTTTTCAGCAGCCTGGCTCCCGCCCCTCCCTTCCCCTTTGAGTCTTCCCATACAAAACAGCATATTAAAGAGATCTGATTTCACATGTATGGTGCTATGTCCTATCTGCAGTATATAAGAACCTATATTTGCAGAACCATATTTTATTCTGTTATAGCCTAATAATAAGATTGACCATTATAGTACTCTTTACAATATGGTGCAGTTTTCATCATAACTAAAGACACGTTTCTGATAAAATATAAAACATGGCAGATTACATGCATATGAAGGGAAATTCTCAGATTTCCAATACATAAAATATTCATGACATCTCTGGGTGTGGCTTTTGGTCAATAATAGAATTGCACATATACCCTCCGTCCGCTAGATGTCAGGCTTTAGCTGAGGCAGGTTCAATGGGCGAACACGTGGGACTAAATCATTAATTTGATCAGAGAATAGTGTGATAAAATCGGTATAGAATAAGAGTAAAATTAAATAAAATCACTGAGTAGGCGTACTATATTTAATATTTTTAGTTAGCTTTATCCATATTAGACCCATTAGAATGTTCTATATTCCGGACCACAAACCATAATAACTTACATTTTCAAAGATTAACTGATACATGATCAATATGCAATTTAAACTATTACTGCACCAAAAAGAAAGGAATTATACTAAGAAAAATAAAGACTTGTTATCTGTATTGCATCTTTGCACTGTTTCTCCTTACAACCTCTTATATATAGCAAAGATATGTTTACTTTTTTATTTGTACATATACATTTCTATAATTATACCTCATTTGACACCAGTGTCTTGCCATTTTTGCTACTTATTTAGAATTTATTATAACTATTTATATTTTTTATTCTTTGTTATTATATTATATTGTGATGTGTGAGCTACTTTGTCCAAATCATTTCCCTTGTGGATCAATAAATTTTATCTAAATTGTTGTCTAAAGTTTGTTTGCTTCTCTATTTTAAAGCTTTAAAAAAAAAAAAAAAAAAAAAAAAAAAAAGACCTTCTACTTTCCTGTCAAAAGAAAGAAAGAAAGAAACAAAAGAAATCATAGGGTTAACATTTCTGGATGTTATTGCCGAGTAAAAAAATAATAATATGAATAATTAAATACAAATCATTAAACCAAACATGTATGGTAATTGATTTTTCACATTCGATGATATCCTGTCTACACTGTTGGGAAATAACTGAATACATGTACTGCAAATGTGTATTCTTTATACCAATTATTGTATTTTGTGAAGTTACCTTTTCATTTGGTTGTGTTCAGAATATAGAAAATCTCTTGTGTCTAAAATCAAAGGAATACAAGACGGTACTTCATCTCCAATTTTAGCCTTGAACTGCACAGTGTTAGAAAAAAGAAAACAGCTCTTGCAGTGTGTGTACGTGTGATTTTGTCTCTAATTAGACATAAATTACTGCATAACAACAAAATTAAATCTGTTTCTAATTCCAGGTCAAGTTCTTTACACTATAATATAATACAACTTGATGTAAAAGTATTCAAAGTATTCAGATACAGTACTCTGATAGGTCCATGCATCACAATATGTTACATAATTTAATTCAGGTATTCAGTATTCTGTAACTCAATGCATTTTTGTATTCTTCCTGTCACTGCCTGTCTTTTGGAATTACAATATGTTCTACTTCACTCAGTTGCCTCCATACTGTAATTTTGAAAGACTCCATTAAAGGTGCATTGTGTAAATTTTCTGGTGGAGGGTCCGTCCTTTTCTCCATGGAGATGTCATTGCTTTGTCTGGATTGTTTGGCATTAAAACTTCCTATCATCATGGAGAGCAAACCAGGCCAAGTTACAGGTCAGATCTGCGGAGAGGTGACACCACTTTCAGTCAGAATGCCTGTTTTTTTTAGGTATTTTTAAACAATAAAACCACCTGTAACTGAATAAATGTGAAGTATGTTTAATGTTTAATGTCATACTGTGGGACATTCCAGGTAGAGCAATGACATATCCATAGAAACAAGAAGGCGACAGACCCCGAACCAAAAGAAAATAAGTGGATTTATATCATTTTGCAACATAACTGCTTCACTTTCTCAAACATGGCATGAATATTTGAACTATAAACACCAGCTATTGGAGAATCTGCAGCATATTTTTCTTCAAAGTTTACCTTAAAACTCCACAAGGCCTTGAATTCCACCTGGAGTCTCATCTATATTTCTTTCCAAATGTTTATTCTTTAGAGAGGAAGAGACAATATGCAAAGAGATAAGACAGATCAGTAGCACAGGAGCTGGACAGGGCAGGTTGGCGGTGGAGTCTGGGGCATATTTGGAATTCTACTGTGATCCTGGTGCAGATCATATCCTCGCAAGCCAAAAATCTGGAATTTCACATATTTTCTTTAATGATGCCTGTGAAAACCAGTCCATTTCACCTGGAATACATTGGATTATCAGAGGTAATGACATTTGCATGGATTATGTTGCTTTTGTGTTTGTGTATAGTTTTTTTTTTTTTACATTATAGAAGCCTACTTTTTAGAATATTGTAAGATTTTTTTGTTTATTTTGTATTTTCTAAACATTTATTTTGAATTTGTATGCAGTTTAAAGGTAGCCTGAGTCATCAGCCAGTTTCCCTTTGTGGAAACCATCTGACCTCGCAGCATTAGGATTCATTCGCTCGATGATCAGCGGGTACTTTTTAATTTAACCAGTCGTTGCTATTTGGTCATGACATATGTAATGCAGCACTAATGGGGTTAACCTTGTATATTAAGCTTTTCCCAAATCCCCTAGGAAGAAGGGCAATAACCTCTTTCCCTTTGATAAAATTCACCAAACATTCTCTTTGTTCCGGCTTGAAATTCTCGATCTCGGGAATCGTTGCCAACATAGAATGTCTGGTTTCGTCTACATCCATCTCGACTGCTTTGTTTACTGTTGAGCTGTACCACAAAAAGGGACCCAGACAGACGCTTGAGTTTGACATCACGGCTTCACAACTCTTCGCTGATTGGCCAGTGCATGGTCTACAACTTCCGGGGTTCTTGCAAGCTGTCTAGTGTATTCCAATTCCTGACTTAGTCGCTGGAGAGAAATGAAATTGGCACCAACCTGGCTAATTTAAAGGGCTCATTTTATGCTATTTTCTGATCTACGTAATAATGTTGTTTACTCATCAAAAACATACTTGGAGTTGAGGTTTGTTTCATTGATACAAATCAGGTATATTTTTCTCCAACAGAAAACACTCTGTTCCACCTTGTGATGTCATGTGGTGATACAGGAAGTGCTCCACTGTGTTACATACACCTTCACTAGAATCTGGAATTGTGGAATTGCCAATCTCTGCTCAACAAAAGGTAAAAGGTACCTGAGAACTTGAAAACTACCCATTCATGACATCACAAATTGGAACAGAGCATTTTGAGCTTTGATTTTTGACATGGTAACAACATTATAACATGGTTTAAAGCTCACAAGAAACAGTTCTGTGTAATATAGGAGTTTAATTAACAACTCCAAGGAACTATCATCTGAACGTAACTATCACCGTGATGACTCAGTTCTGGAAGCACCAAAAGCAAAATAGGAAAAATGCTGCTGGCTGATTTGGCACAAACTGAACTCAAATTAGTCTTTCTTTTTTCCATTTGATAAAGCCAGTGATGCATTCATTAATTCAATTGTTACTTGTGA